CGGCTTAAACAGCACTTTGCTCGCGTCGTGACGTGCTTTAATTATATGACATCGAGTGGTAGGAGAAATGGAGGTGATGTAGCATCTTGCTGTTTGAATGGCCCAAAAAGACTATTGTTGTTTGTGATAGAGGGAAGGTAAGAGTGTTTGGTTTTGGCATCCGATTTTTGATGAAGTCTTAGTTGTGTGTTCTACGGGAAGTCGAAAATGGCTAATTTCTTGCTCATCAGCAGATACGTAATATTGGTATTTCAAAACTAAGTGGTGTAGACTGACTTGTGCTTATTTAATACATTTCTGGCTTTTAACACAAAGTTCTATGTCCATTTATATCAGGTTCAAAACACGAACTTCGTTCGCTAAATTTAAACGTTTTTGCTGGCAATCGAATTTGGGTCAAATTCACCCGAAAAACTAGCAGGTGAGGGGTTGATGGGGAGTGGACCTTGTATCTCCTATACCAGAACACTTGCCGAGCAAACTTTAGTATATTTATCCGTAAGTCCACCTAACCTATCTATGATGTTAGTATGGAATAATTTGGCAGACCCCGATCTGTCAGCTTTTTCAGATTTTGTCTGATTTTCTCAGACACTGCCTCTTAAGTCGCCTTAAATCACCCAAAGTTACGGCGACTTAAGGCCCCAGAGTAGGCTGAAACTGAGCTGCGCTAATTGCCCCTTTGTGACCATGGGTGTGGCCCTTCATTGTCCTACATACTGTTTTTATAATTATTTTGCTAATTTCGGGCTTGATGACTGGAGCTTTTACATTACGAGGGACCTTAAGAAAACCACGACGGGGAAGGCAACGAGTACGTGGCATAGATCTCATACGGAGAATAATAGCGCAGCATGTATGTTTTTAACTTTCTACATTTTTAGCCGTCTTCTGCAAACGACATCGTGAAATCATCAAAATTTGTCAGGTATTACCATCTTATTTTCTGGGGGTAGACATTTTGGAGCTCTGAATACTGCAACACCGCAAAAAATATACTAAAGTCCGTCCGTATCAAAACCCGAAAAGTCTAGAGAACACTGACACCGCAGTAATCACTTTATTCACGCATGATTTACACATGCAAATGAACAATTCACGAAGGTGCACTAAATATTTACATAAATTTTAGATAAAGTCTAATCACTGCCGATGTATAGATTTCAAGTCTTCCAAAGTTTGAAACCCTTGTTTCAAGTCCTCATTAGCATATTGGGTGGTTTTGAAAGGGGCGAAAGGGGTGATAAATTGATTCACCGGGGTCTTCTGAGCAAGAAACCACAATGAGATCCTTAGAACTTGTTCTCAAACACAACACCACAGTATTGCACTGTCCTCCTCTTCTACCCTAACTTTTGATGCAGAGAAAATTGAAGTAGACAAAGTGATTTTTTCATTAAAATGCTCTCACTGAATAGGAACACAAAATATCATACACCTGGTTATCTTAGTCAGATGTGAAATATATTTTCTCATCTTCAAAAATTAGAAGTGTTCCACAGAAGTGATCCACGAATTGTGCGTATAGTTGTAATTCATGAGCCCCCGGTTCCTGTCTTGTAGATTTCCGGTCCTTAACAAAGCGCTAGCGAGTCAATGGCCTGTGTACAGTGTATGAAAAAACATTGAGCTGGCATAAAATAATTCAATGTTATTGTGTGCAGTGTAACCACGAGGCTGCGCCTAGTGGTTTTATTTTTGTTTTAAAAGCATTGACGCCATTTCTATGATATAGAAGGTTATAGACAATGGAAAATTGTGGTTGATTTGTTAAATATTCATGATAGTGACTGAGAACGGTGAGTAGTCTAGTGTGCGGCTGTAAACAAAATGAAAAATAATAAACGATGAACCAGTTCAGTTGTTACGTTTTAATTGACCTGTGTAGATCTATCTGTACCTGAACAATCTCGTGATGCATGATGGCTGATTTGCGCTTCACCGTCATCACTCCATAAGAAAGTACATATTTAAAGGTGGTAAGTTTCTAAAGAGACTGGGGTACTGCGTCGGTGGGGGTAACAAGGTAATTTGGTAATATCAACTGAGGAAAGAGTTAATAGGCAGACGTAAGAGCGAATGGAGGAATTGTGGGTTGTGTGTTGGTTTCGACAGAAGAGGTGAAACGATAATGACTAAGGGGCTAGAAGAGAATCCGTGGCCTTCCTAGCTCAAGAATTTCAACACTCTAGGCAGCAGTTGAAAGATTAAACTCTTTCCAAACCACTTCGGTAACTGCCCGAAAACATCTCTCCTTCTCACGATGTTCTCGTTAATAAGTTTTTGTTCAGATTTTAATTAGCTAACCGGAAACACAGCTAAGCTTTCTCTTAGCACTATTGGGAATCGATCCGATGCTGCTTTCAATGGGAAAAACAAAACCAAAGACCAAGAAATATTGGATGGAAAGGGCGGGTTTGCTTTATTGCAAATGTCAGCTTAGTAGTACAGGGTCATCTACCCACATCTAATAAGCAAAAGTTTCCACGCTTAGCTTTTCTTTTTTTTCAAGCGAAGATGAGATTAGATTTTGGCACGCACAGAAAGTTGCGCAAGTACCAGTTGCTCGACATACCTGCGTGGCCCGTGCGACGAAATAACTTCACGGGATTGGCAAAGTTTCAGTCACAGCAAATTATGCAAAAAATCTAGAAAGATTTAAGCTTAAATCTCGTTTAACGTTTAAAGCGACATATCAATGACTGCAACCATCGTGTTGTATACAAACCTCGCAAACTTTAAAACACGTTCTCTAGTGATACCTGCCAAAGTATTCAGTATAATTTCGGGTAAAATTTTCGCGGACAATCTGATCGATTTCTCTTACATTGTGTGCTGAGACTGAAACTTTTCACCTCAAGCAAATCTCTGTCGCACGGCCCAAACTAACATAGCGAGCAACTGAGCTACTAGCATATGTCCATGTTAAAACACACGAAAAGTGTCTAAAGCACACTTCACTCTGATTGGGCAGAAAAACACAAAGATTTTCTGGCACCAATCAGATGGCAGAACGACTGCGACCGTTTGGAACTAGTCTTGTAAGACAATATCCCCAGGGGGCTCTTCATGCCCTGAATTGAAATCGACCCACAGCCCCTAGATCTCCGAGGATGCCTTTGGGGCTAAGAGTGCTGATTTGAAACATAAACTTTTGTTCAAGAGTTTTGCGGCTCTCCGAGGAAAGACCGCAGACTGCCATATGCTGCTGAGAATGATTCGGTAGATTAAAGTGTCGAGCGACTGGTTTGGATGCCTCCTTGTCATTCCTTTCTATGTCGCGAAGGTGTTCTCGGAATCGGTCACCTAAAGCGAAGAACTGTGAATGTTGTAACAAAACAGTTGTTTTTGTGGTTTTCAGTTTGAAATTTTTAAATCAAACGTGAAATACCACTCTTACTCTATCTGTTAATTCACTTGATTGGGGGTCTCAATGGGAGATGGCTTTTACGACTAACGCCGGGTTAAAACTTTGACCATTTTACGGCTAATGATCAATTTCTTTCCAAGTTTTTTGCCATGGTTACGGTGATTCGTCAATTTGTACGCCTAACGGATAAATGTTTTTGGTCATTTTACGGCTAACGGTTAACCCCATTGAGAGAATCTTTATTGACTACCACCAGCTGAGAAAGCGAAGCTAACAACTAGAAAACCGCTATGATTAGAACTTAGCTCACAAAGTTTAAATGTAGGTATATAATGCAACTAATATATCGTAAGTATAAAAGCTATTTAAAATGCTATTGTCTGGCAGCGCGTTAAACTTGCACTAGAGATTCTCATAGCTCAAGACCTTTACATAATCTTGAAGACTGCGCAAATGAAATATTCCACTGTCCAGTTTAACATAACCTATCAGAAAAAAAGAAGCAAACAGAAACAAAAAACAAAACAAAACAAACCAAAGCAAGAAAAAATTGATGCAAAAAGGAATAAAAAGTTAAAAGTCTTGACATAAGTGGCAAGCTATGAGAACAGCAGCCTGGTAAAAGTGTTTCCAGCTTACTTCAGCAGTTCCAGGCTCACGAGAAAGCAAACGGCCAACAGGATGATGTTGCAGGTAAAAGATGTGCCTGCGTTACATCCGTCACTAGAACAGCAGCCAACCGCGCAGTGGTAGTCCTTCAGAGTATCTTTCGCTTTATCACAAACTGATTTTAGGGTGTCACAGGTAGATTGGTAACCGCATCCGCTCGAAACTGTGACATCGTTATCTTTGAGTTTTTCCCAGGTTCTGAAGCATTTATCGCCAAGCAAACACGTTTTTAAATAGGTGGCCTTGTTGTCCTCCAATTTGCTTTTCTTACAGGCGTCTTCATCACCACCGCAGACGTAACATTTCAAAGCGACAGCTGACGAATAAGAAGAATGAAATTATTTTTCATAAATGAGGATGCTACGTCAAAAAAAGTTGTTCAATGGACATATAAAAAGGCACTTCCTCATTTGGCCAGAAAGGGTACTTGCTGTCAAGCAGGGCAGGAATATGAAGATATTTTGTCTGTAATTGGGCCAAGGTGTGGGAACCCTGGTGGTCAAACTCCACCCTACCGTCCCTTTAAGTAAAGCGCTCCCCCCCTTTTATAATCACACTTGGTTTAATCAACTTGAAGCCATGCCTTACTGACTAGGTGTATAGGCTGGCATTATTTACCTATAAGATTTTTTGGACCAAAAGAAAATGAAGTCCCATTATTTTCTCTTGCTTGTACAGAACAGTGTAAAACGTTCAATAGTGATTCCTATTGTTCTTAACCGGTAGACCAAAAGAAACTCCATGTGCCAATTTATTCAGTCGCCCTAAGCATATATGACCTAATATTGCAGTCAGTACCGTTGTTTTCATCTTAGATTTTTGCCAGGTTTGATGACTCAGCAGTCACCTTTGCTAACCATAATCAAAACAAACGTATCTTCTCGTAGTTGAAATTTAAAAACGATCTCTGGCAAAAATGATTAAAAACTACAAGCTTTCGACTGCACGAACTGCAGTCTTCGACGGGTAAAATAAATGATAAGCAAGCGATGAGGGAATTTAAATAAAGACATGAATGTTGTTTGATGTAAGGAAGAGAAGCTGGAGTAACTGAACCTTTGACACGTGTCCTCAAAAAACATGATGTCATAGTTGTAAACAAACCATTTACCACTCTACAACAACAGTTCCCAGCTCCGAAATTCCGACCTTTGATGGAATCGCAGACCAACGTCGTGTACAAAATTCTCTGTGCAAATTGTTCGTGGCGTTATAGAGGGGAAACCAGTAGAGCTTTTAATACCCGAAAAAAAAAATATTTGAGAAATATCAAAACTGCGGCCAAAGGTTCTAGAATTGCTAATCACGCCTGGTCCAACAACCAAGCCATTGATTTTGAAACCGCGTCAATTATTGACAAAGGCACTTTTAGAACCAGAAAAACATTAGAGGCGTGGCATACCAGAGTGACCTAACGCAGATAATAATTCTTGCCCGTTACCTGGACAGTACAACATTTTTTTAACAAATATTTATAATCATTTACATTCTCATGATTTCACAGTTCATGTCTTTATTTAAATTTCCTCATCGCTTTATTATCATTCATTTTACCCGTCGAAGACTGCAGTTCGGGCAGTCGAAAGCTCGTAGTTTTTAATCATTTTTGCTAGAGATCGTTTTTAAATTTCAACTATGTTTCATCCTGGCTGGGGCCCTTCAATATTTTCACGTATCTTCTCGTATTATTCACTATATTATCGATTATGTTGTAGAAAAAAACCGATTACGGCGATTTTAAGAGCTGGGACTATGCACATCAAACACAATATCCATCGTTTGCATTCGGTCTCTAAAAAAAAGTTTACAATTTTGTCACTGGGTTACAGGCAAATCACCCTAAGAAAATTCGGCTCAATTTCTTTAAAATGAATTGGAACGATTACCAAAACCAAACAAAAGACAAAGTGAGACAAAGAGGTTTCTGTTTAGGGTAAGACATGTTTGCTTATGGTGTTCCAAGTATGGGCGAGGTCAGACTGATACGCCCAAATGAATAAGTCACGAAGGTGCACTAAATATTTGCCGATCGTCTAGATTTAATGTTGATTCATTGATATGCAAATTTCATGTCTTCCATAAACTTTGAAACCCTTCTTTCGAATCTCATTAGCAAATTGGGTGGTTCTGAAAAGTGCGAAAAGGGCGATCGATTGATTTACTGGGGTTTTCTAAGCAAGAAACTACGACAACGCAAATATTGCCATTTCATTTTCTGTGAGATCATTAGAACTTGTTCATATATGAAATTAAACACAACACCGCGGTGTTTGAGATGACTTTGATAGATATATGAGTATCGCCAAAAAATAAAGAAAATCCCAATGTCTCCCTCTTCTAACCTCCGTTTTGATGCCGAGAAACTTGAAGCAGGCAGAGTGTTTTGCTTTGTTTTTTCTCTTTCTTTAACTCGCTCTAACTGAACAGAGGTTGTGAGCAAACACTGAAGCTGTGTGGTCGGTTTTCACTATGTTTGTAAGCATTTTCAAACAAATCAGTTCCAAACTATTTTTCTAAGATAACGGCGACTTCTATCTCAGTTCTTAAAACGTCACGTTGGTAATAGCTTTGGTGGGAGTGATAAAGTTTGCAGACTAAATTTTCACTTGTCGTGAAAATTATATGTGCTCTAAGCGAGCGCTGTCCCACACTTAAAATCGTATTCTTTTAGCTGTGTATCCAACAACTTCTCCACTGATTCTAGGAACGTAATCGTTAGATTTCGTCTCATCTAACTGGGGGTAAAATGTAGTTTTTCCTTTGCGTGAGTGGGACTCCACCAAGAATCCTAAACTTGTTTTTAATCGGTAATTTCGGGCCGATAGGTGGTTACATACCTCAATCTCTAAGAACAATTGCTGAACGCTTTTTCAGTGTGACCTTAGTCATTAGATTGCCTGTCCCTTTTCTCACTTAGTTTTCCTTGCCCTTCGCCACAATAGAAATCGAGCAACATTACAAAAAATGAAAAATAACTGAGATCTGAATGATTTTTCCTCTTGATAAAGCTAAGATTATCTATTTCAGGATAAAACACATAACAAAAGCTGGTGCCTGCATTTTCGAGGATAAATGTATGGTTCACGGAGAAATTTGAAGGCCCATCATAGTGGGAGAAAAAGCCACTGAAAATACTCGGCGATTATTTTTCAGCCATTTGATCTGCTTCAGTGTTGCATTGTTAAGTGATGTGTTTCACAAGACACGAAATTACCTGTGGAGTTAATCCACCACTTAAATTCAAAAGTTGTACAGTACTCACCAGGTAGAGCCATCAGAACAAGAACAATCGGGGTGAACAGCAAACGATTCATTTTTGAAGCTCCTATCTTTGGTCGAAGTTTAACTTTTCGTGCTATACAGAGAATTATAATGTAGTGCCACGCCAAATTTATGCACAGTATGATCTTAACGGACGTAAAACATGGATCGGAAGTCCGAAAATGAAAAAAACATGCCTATTTAAGGGCATAGGCTAAAATATGGACTAGACAAGACTTATTTTTTGGACCATTTTTTGGGCCATTTTTTTTGGACTATTTTTGTGGACCATATTTTTTTTGGACCACTTTATAAGAGGGCAGCTCACCATTACTACTCAGGGAGGAGTGGGTGCAGTCTATAAGAGCTGAGGAAGGGGTGGGAGGCAGAGTGTCATAACTCAAGAAGGGGTAGGAGGTGGTTGTAATTGTAAACACTACTGGTTAATATAGCGTTAATGAATTAATTAATAAAATCTTCCTTTTGTCACTATATTGCTATTTTCATGTCTCTATCCATGCAAGCTATGGTATTAGTCAAACTAGAATGTTTTGTGTGAATCTTACTAAGGAATAAGGATTTAGAGGGGGAGGGTAGTTGTCAAAAGCCTTGCAGGGCTCAATTTGGGATTAGAACACAAAGTGCAGGTAAAAGGGGTGATCAGTTTATAAATTATCTGGTTGGTGTAAAATGTTTTGGGGTCACCAAGACCAGTGCCATCTGGCTACTTGCCCCAGGGTGCTGGAGGGCAATGAGAATGCTTGTCAATTGACTTGTGCTAACCCTAAACCCTAACCCAACTGTAACCCTAACATCAAAATACTGGAAAAAGATCAATTTAAGTCGAGACTTACCATAGCTGTCTCCAGAGGGTGTCAATGAATTACCTTATGTTAGTCAGGTGATTTTGATTTTTTTTCTTAACTCGATCGTACAAGTTATTTTAATCGGTCCTAGACCGGTTACTATAATGATGGAATACGAGCGTTTTGATTTCCTGCCATTCAGTATTCGAATTATTGCATTTCCTCGATAGTGTACAAGCAGGCGAAGCCTTTCAACATTTATGACCACTTTTTCCCAAGGCAGCGATTGATATCGCCGAGGGACTTGAAGTTTTGCATTCAAGGAATGCGGTACATCGCGAAACCAGGGAATGTCTATTTCAGGAACCACATATTCGCGAACTTTTTATTAATTCATCAGACGTCCATACACATAACACGCGGTTTTCTTCCACAGAGAATTTTTATGTACAGAAATCTAGATTGCACGTAAAATTTAAGTCTTTCTCTGCGTATGGTACGAGGTTAGGGAACTGTCTAAACCCTGACTTGCGTAAGCTTACGAAAAGAGCATTTAAA